TTCATACGCTCTGCAACTCTATTTTGTTGTGGTGTGCCAGGAATGTTTTTTTTTTCATTCTGATGCCCTGAGTTGTACAGTACTCATTAAACTCATCATCAATGTATTCATCACTATTATTAGATCTCAAACATTTCAGTTTCATTTCAGTTTCAAGTTTGTTTCTAGTTTGTCTCCGTCTCAACCATGGTCTTCCAAGTTTTGAACACATTAAATACATCAGATTTATGATTCAAGAAATAAACACATACCTTTTTGCTATGATCATCAATGAACGTGACATAGTAACGAGAGCCTCCAACAGATGTCACTGGAGAAGGTCCCCAAATCTGTGTGTACAAGATCTAGTTTTTCTGTCTTTGGTGTTCTGTCATTTTTCAAGAAACTGATTTTCTTCTATTTTCTCATGACGCAACTCTCACACATACTGAGATCAATTGACTTCAGCTCTAATAGCTTGCCTCTGGATAAAAGTTCTTTTATGCCCTTCTGACTCATATGGCCAAGCCTGCAATACCACAAATCTTTTGTGCTCTCTGCAACTATAGTAGCAATAGTGTTAATTAAACTAGTAGTCATATATAGTGTGCTAGTTTTCTACCCGAGCCAATACAAATGCCCCTTTTATGAAATATTAGATGTTGTATGAGAATATTACTGAATGGACACACTCATTGAACTGCCCAATAGAAATGAAGTTTTTCTTCAACTTAGGAATGTGTCTGACCTTTTGCAAAGTACATTTGCTCTTGTTATGATGTGCAATGTTAATGTCTCTCATTTCCATCACGTTCAAAGAGTTTCCATCAGTCAAATACACATTCCCAAAGTCACCTGCAACATAACTCCGCATTAACTCACGGTGGGAAGATGTATGGAAAGAAGATCTTAAACCAGTATCCAGTCATCAACTGAACTATGAACTGCAAGCAATAGTGCATCTTGTACTTTTCTTCAGTTACAACATTAGCACTGACATTCTATGCTTCTTAAGATTTTTGCAGCTTTTTTTTATGTGACTAGCTTTGTCATAATTCCAGCAGGTTGCTTGCTAACCAGGCCTTGACTTGCTCTTGCCTCTATGTTTTGATTTTGATCTTTCTCTATTTGAGTTCATGTCTTGTGATCTCTTTCAAGAATCAACATTTAGTTTTGAACTCGAACCCAAGATCTCGTCAGATTCCTTTCTGCTCACATCCTCGCCCAAAATCAAATCAAGAATATCATCATATTTTAGCTTAGATTTACCAGCAGAATTGCTAACCATCATTCTCATGACTTCCTAGCTATTTGATAATGAAACTAATAATATCAGTGCATCAATCTCATCGCCAAGATAAATTTTAACAGACGAAAATTGATTTGTAATAGTATTAAAATCATTTAAATATTGTGCAAAAGGCATATTGATAGTATTAAAATCATTTAAATATTGTGCAACAGACATACCATCCGTCATCTTTAAATTGAATAATTTTTTCAGCAAGTGTATCTTGTTATTCGTTGATGGCTTTTCATTCATACCTGACAAAGTCGTCATGAGATCCACATTTGTTTTTTCCTTGATGATATTGTATGCAACAGATCTCGATGAGGTTAATTGAATAACCACCAGAATTTGTCGATCCAACAGATTCCATTCAACCTCATCCATGTTTTCTGATCGCATTCTCAATAACGAAAGATAGAGTTTCTTCCCATAGAGATAGTCATCTATCTGCATCATCTAGTAACCAAAATTTGTGTCATCAAAGTTCTCGATCCCCGATACTTTCACTTCGTTTCCAACCATCGTTTTCCCTCAAACATAAATCACAGCTCTAATACAGAAGATTTTATTGCTTAAAGAATTACACAATTTCTCAATCATGGTTACAAGAATTCTGTTCAACTTTTTAACTCTCCTCTTCCTAAGATTTGAAACCGCCCGCAGCACCTACCTCTTGCTCGCTTGCCACCACCCACAATTGCTTCGTCCGGACTTGTCTCCTGTCGGACATCGATGCCTTGGTTTCCATCGAAAATGTCTTTGTTTCTTGAGTGCAGCCGCCCGAAAATTTCCTTCTTCAGTTGCAGTCGCTCAGATCTTACTCGCATATCGAATGAAGGGAGTGATGGTCTTTAATAGCCGTGAAACAGCCAGAGGCGAGATCCAAATTTGGAGAGGCACGACAGATCAAAAAAGGAGATCTAAGCAAATAACAAATTTGAATAACTTCCATATAAATAGAACCTTCCAATAGACGGTTAGATTTAGGGTCTGTTTGGGGCAGCTGTAGCTTATTTAAAATTCGTTGCATTGTAGTTGTGGCATGAAACTGTTGCAGATAAACTGACTGTATGTTTGTTTGTTTTTTTAGTTTTGAAATAGTTGTGCTGCAGCTGTTTCTGAACAAATGATTTTTCTACCTCTGTACTATAGTGTTGTTTATAACATAGTTGTTCATACTAGCACATTACATACTTGAAAGTAAATATCTAATTCGAGCATTACAAAATAAGAAAAGACAACTCACTAAATAGTGAATAACACGAAAATTAAAATAAAAAAAACAGTTAGAATAACAATTAATAATATTGTAATATTATTTTAAAATGCACTTGGTTTATGTCACGAGATAATGCGTCTTTCAAGGAAACTCTCGTTGCCCGATCACTATCTGCGGCAGAATCCTCCAACCCATCCACCCACCTAAAAAAGTCACAACATTCTGCTCTTCTCCTCAGACAGCTGTAAAACTGTCTTTCGTAGCTATGTGGCTGTCGCGAAGTAAGCAAAAAACATTTTAGTCCGCAGTAGCAGTACAATGCTCTGGAGGTACTGGAATTCCTCGAGCTCATTTTTCCTGAAGGCTTAAAATGACAAAACACGTACCTTTAGATGCAACATTATTGAAAATGAATAATAGAAGTAATTACTTAAAGTTTTATGCAGTTGTGATGTCTCAGAGAATACAATATATAAACTAAAGAATCTGTCACTACAAGAAGACAACATACATTATAAAAAAAGGGTTTTTTGTTATCTTTTAATACCGAGCTCGTGTATGTCACATATGCATATCACCGAATAAGTCCATCCAAAAGAACCTTAAAAACCATAACATTGAAAAATGAGAGGAACTCAGTTGTCTTCATTGGAATTTCACATGCAGCAAAACCAATAGCGACATATAGGTAATCCAGAAGAATTCTTAAGGTCGAATGTCTTATTATAGACCTCCGAAACAAAAAAAAAACATGCAATAAAAATTAATATTACATATTATATTCACGGTTATCTCTTCGGCCATCAAAGTGGGAAGGAATGCATGTATAAAATTTGTAAAAAAAATTGAGATTCAAAATATATATTAGTTGTATAAAAGTACTGATACAACAAACAGTAAATATTTTCACAACACATTACAACTTAAGTAGCGACAAAAACATATATTCCCTCAATATGACCTTCAACTATATCATTTGCGATTCGTTTTTCAACTCTATCATCTCGCTTACACCTTCACTATTCTCGGTGCAATCTTAGGCAAATGAATTTCGACATGTGATAAAGATTGTCCAAGATGATATTCATATGCTTCAACAATGACATGTGATTGATCTTCACAAGCCCTGTTAAAGTCAATGTTGTTGTGTGATGGATGTCGCATAATGTAGTAGTGCAGAGTCATCATGGTGATCACAATATGCACTAATTAGGGAAACAAATATGTAAGCATATTATGAAGTATGACTCATTTCTTCTTCCACACTTCAAATATCATTTCAATGACACCGCTTAAGAATGAGTATCTCTTGTTGAACATATTTTTCCTACCCCAGTGACTTGGCTAGCTCTATTGAAGTCAAAAATGTGATATTTGGTATCTAAAAAATGTTTGATATACCCTCTTTGTAACAGATATTAAATATTGAACAAATAATATTTATTTGACATAGATAAAATGGTTAGTACTGTAGTGAAAACAATATCTGACTACTTGAGACGCAAGCAAATATGTAGGTGGATGAGCAAAGTTGTATTTCTTAATTCTTCTGGCAACTTTAAATATGCAACTGTCTTGTGCACCGCCCTCCCAACCAGCTGTAACAAAAGTGAAACACATGTTGGAGTCACATATTGACATGACATTGTGTGGGTGATTCACATCCCCCAATGAATGCAATCTTTTCATTATTCGAAGTACAAACATTCACGCGTGTTTCATCGATCGCTCTAATACAATTCTAAAGAATTTAACAAGGGTAGGTAAATTATTGTATTCATTTGAGATGTGGAAGTAATGGATAAATAGATTTACTTGAAAATATGACATATACAACGGGTCATCTGAAATCTCTATGGGAGATTTCAGTTGATTTGATAATTTGTGCTGAAAGACTGGCTAGAGCATTCAACGCAACTTAAAAATATTTAATGATTGTTTCAGATGAGTGTTGGAATCGTTTTATGACTCATCTCATAGATTTATTCTGTAATAAAATGTAGAGGGTTATTGCTAGCACTTCTCTTATTGTCATCATTGAAGAGCCTTGAAGTCCATTATGACTATGTAGTTCATCAAGCAGATCCATAAATATAGACATTATCATACAGAACATGTCACTGAATCTTATAGGGTGTCCTTATAGTAACTCTCCAACCCATTTATCACAAATATAAGTGAATGTCATGCAGGGAGTTCGATCAGAGTATGAGTTGTAGTATTCATACAGCAAAACTACTGTCATCACAATATTTCTTTTCAGACTCTCTCGTTGTGAGTCCATGCTAAAAAGCACTTTGTTCAGGTAATATGTGTGAATAAGACAACGTTAAAAGAACATCTAAAATCTGATAACAGAGTATAATGAGAAGAAATAAATACGGAACAACATATATATTGTTCGTGCTATAAAGAAAAATATCCAAACCAAATATCCCATGAAACAAACGAAAAAAAAAAAAATAAAGCCACTAAAAAATAACTCCAGAAAATCAATTGTCCATAAATAAACGTAAATAGTCGACCTGACAGTCATTGGGCATCTTGATAAATATTTGTATGCGAGTCGGGTCCTCCGACAACTTTAAGGAGTTCAAATACAACTTATCCCGATAAACTTCAGGATGTCTCCAGAACTCAGAGAAAGTCGTCTATGGAGGTATCATTTAAAGTATCAGCCTGAATTGTGCACACATCCACCAATTTTACTACTTGGCTTTTGACGAAAGCAACACCTTTTTTTTCTTTTTCTCCACCCTAAGACGCTTTTAACGGCATGTAGACTTTAGCTCCTTTTGGTTTAGGTTGGGGCCTTCAGCGGACCCACTTACCTTCGGTCTCCAAGTCCACTTGTATGGTTGCAAGCCAATGCTCACTTGGGGTGAACATATGTGTGCTCATTGCAACAACCCCACTAAACATATGGTCCAACTTTGCCTCTAGGTCAGGTACAATACCACTAAATTTGAATTGCTTGGCGGCTGACACTACCTGCAACATACGTGTAAGTTTATCACTTCAAACAGCTTAGTAGGATAAAGTAAGGAAAAACAAGTTTTCAATGGATAGGAAATTACCTCAAATTTCTGAGTACACCATTCCTTCGAAGCATAAATAGTTCGTTTGATTGGATCCTAACCCAAGCCCGTGGATCCCCGTTTTAGTTTCTTGCATAATTTTTAGTTTTTCAACTGATCTCACTTGCTCTTAAATTGCAACCTATCGCACTCCCTCTCATTTCATTAAACTTCTTTATAATAATTTGCCACCCTTCGTTGTTAAAATAGAGGGTGGGTTTATTTCCTAACTCAACATCTTTAAGACACAAATCACAAAATATGAGTGTGACTTCCCTATCCAACATAGTTGATGAACCGACTTCTTTAGTCTTAACCATTGTGTTACTAACAAAGAAAAGAAAAAACATTAATATTTTAAATCAACCAGAGAATAGACCTTAGCCACCACCCAACCCCAGTACATCCACAACCACCCCCCCACCCCAACACAACTACCACCCAACCCCTAGCACATCCATCAACCCCAACACATCCACCAGCTCACCCCCAGCAGAGCCACCACCCACCCTAACACAACCACCACCCAACCCCCAGCACATCCACCACCCCACCCTTAGTACAACCACCACGCAACCCCCAGCACATCCAACAACACTCCCTAGCACAACCACCAGCTCACCCCCAGCAGAGCCACCACCCACCCCAACACAACCACCACCCAACCGCCAACACATCCACCACCCCACCCTTAGCACAACCACCACCCACCCCAGCACATCCACCACCCAACCCCTAGCACATCCAACAACACTCCCTAGCACAACCACCACCCAACACCCACATTCACCACCCAACACCCACAACCACCAAAAGAGCTACTCAAAAAGACCCTCAAGAGGATTAAAATGAAAAATTATTACAAATGCTCTGAACAAGATGAAATTATAAAGAGGCCATTTTGGGCTAAAAATCTTTAGAATGCCCAGAACCACAACTAAAAATCTTTAGAATGCCCACAACCACAACCACAATGAACCACAACTCCTTCCCATATTTCATTTGAAGCAATTACATACATGTCACCTCAATGAACCACAACCACAACCCCAACCCATATTTCGTTTGAGGCAAATTAATACCCACTCCACACACCCAAAACCACCATACACACACCCACAACCACAGCATACAAAGCACCCAATCACAACCCAACACAACACACACCATACTCATACCCAACCAACAACCACCATACACATACCCACAACCCACATCACACACAACCACACACCCACCCACAACCACAACACAACACCCAACCACAACCCCACACAACACACACACCCACAACCACCACACACACACTCACAGCCACAACACACGGCACCCAACCATAACCCACAGCCCACATCTTAATGAGGTCTCCCCTTATTTATCAATTCAATGCAATTACATACAGGCCACTCGAAACATTACCATCTACAAATGAAGCATCCTCTTTCATCCATTTTTCAATTTATAGTTGAATTATAAAAGAAAAAACAGTGTAGCATTGAATAGATGCAAATGCAAAAAGGCAACCCGAAAGAATACTATGAACAAACCAAGCACACTTTTACATCCAATTTTAAAATTGTCCCACAAATATCTTAGGATTTGATGAAATCTCATCCAATAATTTTCATTAGAGGCAATGATATACAGAGCACCCGAAAACTTGTTATCTACGAATGAACGCCCTATGCAAATGAGTATATGAAACCTTGCTATCAGCAAATCAAGCACACACTTTCACCCATTCTCCAAATTACATCCAAAAATAAAAAAATCACATAAAGAAACTAATCGAAAAACCGCATACAAAATACAATTCCATCGAAAAATTTCAACAAATTACATATAGAAAGACATTTCATCGAAAATTACTTACAGAGCACAGTAGTAACTAGAGGTCGGAAGGAGGAGAAAGTGGTGAAAGTCACCGCTAATCACAAGATAGGAGCATTCGACGGAGAGAGGCAAGCGAGAAGTAACCTAGGGCAGAACAGGGGTCCAACGAAGAATGAAGGGCATGCGGGTAATAAGCAGGGGTAAGAACGCGGGCCTCAAGTTCAAGCTCACGACCACATTTATTATGCACTAAACAAATGCCTCGGCGGCATTTTCAAAACGCAAATGCACTAAGTAAGCTGCACCAAACGGGGCTTCAGATATGATGTGATGTGCACGTAAACTGCCCCTACAGTGAGACTCCAATCGTAATATTTTATTGATGACGGCCCAAAATAATGTATTTTTTATCTCCAATGATCATGAATACCAATTACCATCTTTCATTGCATGTTTTGCGGTGCAAGAAAAATTACGGTGAGGCAATAAAAATAAGCATTTATGTACATACAACAAAATTGTTATATATTTACATATCCAACACCTAAATTTTCATATTTACATATCACATCAAAAATACTACTATCATTAACTTTCTAAAAGTGAAATACATTTTCATGCTTAGGCTTTTAATACTAAGGTGTTAGTGAACACTGACTTTAGGTGTTAGTAAACATCTAACATTAGGTGTTAGATATTTAAATGCATAAGAACTGTGGGGTATGTATATAGATTTCCCTAAAAGTCATAATACTCATCAAAAAATCAACAAATATGTTTTCTACGTTAATGTTTAGGTTAAAGTTTTCGGTGAATAAAACACATTAGACTCTACAAATCCCAAAGAACAAAATTCATAGGCACACAAATCTCGCAGAATCCATCAGATGTTAAACATCTTTTTTGTTACAAATATTAGGCACGGCACTTCAAATCCAAGGGGCATAATCCAGTACAGATACTAGCTAACTTTCAGAACACAAATAACAAAAATAAAGATGAATTAGAAAATCGAATTTAGACTATAAATGTTTACATTGGGCTTTAGCCAATATAGATAGCACAATTGAAACCACATAAATGAATGAGTACATACCATTATAAATATAAATAATAAACTATCGCCTATTACCGAATCACTTACCTTCAGAGCTCCCTCACAAGGAAGAAGAAATAAAACTGCATCTCTTCTTCAGAAATCCACCATCAAAAGAATAATTGGCGTATTATAATAAATGAACAGGGCCCTTGTGGAAAATCTGCACAACTGAGCAACAATTTCTTCTGAGCTGGGCCTCAAGAATGAGCATACAAATTGCTTTATATCAGAAAACAATAAACAAATGCTGTTATTGGTCATTTCTCTCTGCTGGTTCAAAGTACTAGATTAATTATCATGAAAGTTGCCATTAGGAATGCGATGAATCCTCTGATCTCCAGTAGGGTGGCGGAGGATAAATTGTGAGCATCGACGGCGTACAATGCTGTTGTTACGTCGTCTTGAATCTTGATGCTGGATGAGCCTGTAATAAGTGAAGATGAGATGAAGTTAGTAGATCAAATTGTGAATGATTTTCATCAGATATTTATCAATGAATACTAAGAAATTATTAATTCTTATAATGTTAAGCTAAACCCTAAACAAATAAAAATAACATGACCTGCATAATTTTATTTCCCATAAGCAGAACTGTAGAAAAAGAATTATATTTTCTGGATGAGAGTTCAGCTATACAAGGGAAGGATATAGGTTTACAATGCAATGTGGTAGTAATCTCGTGAGTAAAGTGGCTTCTCCACATAAGGGTTTATTCCTTCCACTAATAAATGAAGAGAAAAATACAGAATTCTGACTCAGACAGCAGGAAACTCGGTTCCTAGAAAGTAATCAGAAAGGTATCCGAAGGAATTGAATTAAGGGTTTTTAGGGTTTAGGGTTTAGGGTTTAGGGTTTAGGGAATCAGTCTTCTTAAAAATGATTATATTCCAAAACAGTACACAACTTCAATAACAGAACAAACAGTTACAATTTTGAATGGAACCAATGACCGACAAACATACATAACAAAAGTATTTATGAAAATTTACATGCATTGCGTAGCACACATATCTTGTGTATTTACTTATCTCACACCTAAACTTTCAAATTTACATAGCATTTTGTTGTTTTAAATCTTATTTCACTTTCAAAAGATGGTAATAGCGCTATTTTTTATGTGATATTAAGGATTTGAGTGTTGTGTGTGTAAATATGAAGGTTAGGTGTGACATATGTAAATACATAAGAGTTGAGTGCTATATATGTGAATGCCCCAAGTATTTATCCATGTAGAACACCACATCAGAAGCAAATAGGTATTTGTTTATGCAAAGCAACAGAACAGGGCAAATATGCATAGAAGACAGAACTTGTGGAGTGTTAAATGCCCAGCAGAGAGAAATCAAGAGGAGCAAAGGCAAATTTGTAATTAAGGTCTACAACAGAGAGATTATTAGAAAAGAAGATGCGGCTATCATTCTTCTTAAATTTGATTTTTTTTTTTCAAGAATACAAATAAAAACATTCAATCTAATGTGGCTTCCATGATTCTTACAGTCATACTCGGTCCAACCAACAACTTGATTCTCAAGATCGTAAACAACTAACTTGTTTGCCAAGACCATATCTGCAAAAAAAAATAAATGCAAACTTAGAAATAAAAACAAACGTGTCTGATCATGAAAGATATAACCAACTTCTATATCAAACACTAAAAGATACAAACGGGGCAAAATATAATTTTAAAATATCATGAACATTAAGACCTACGAAAATAAATAGAAAGATGCAAGAATATGTACAGAAATTGAAAATACCTCTGAATGTTTACATGATTTTGATGGGACAAGTATAATTCAAAAAGGCATCGTCCATTACCACAAGGATTGAATTGGTTTGCAGAGAGAATGGAAATTTCTATGTCAAAATAATGTTGAATTCATCATACTTTGTACTGCTAGCATTATTGATAAAGGATGTATTAGAGTCTAGGATTTTCTAATGCAAACTTAGGATAAGATGCACTACAAAACAAGTCAAAATCAAAATTCACAAGCCACCAACGCATGGCAAAACTTGGCCACATTTGATGAAAAATCAGAAAATGTGTGCTGGTCAAATAATATTCCAAAAATTGCAAAAATCAGAAATTCAAGAGGAATATAAGAACAACCAAGATTTCATGCAGTAATCAAGATATACATTGCAAAAACAAAACCAGTGTATTGCAGTCTTAACAAAATCTTAACCAAGAAAACAAAAACCAATAACAAAGTACGTAGATGTAAGAAAAAAAAGCGTTCAAGGAAATCACATTTAAAAATACAAAAGTAAGTTTTGAAGAAACCTGGAATTGTATTATGCATAAACTGATCATTACATTTTTAGAAACCAATTTATAATGAAAAACATAACCCAACTAAAATATTCTCATAATTCCAAAAATCTAATTAATCTAACTATAAATCCGGTTTCATCTGGCACAGAATTAAATCTCAGTTACGGTAGAGTTTTAGGTATAGAAGGAAAGCCAGACCAGGAGTTATGTGACAGCAATGGCAAACCATGTTATGCACAGGATTCAAACCGAGAGCAGCAAAAGAATTAAAACATGTTCTGCACAAGTTTAAATGGAAGCAATAGCAAATCACTAGCAACAAGGATTCAAATTCGGTAATGGAGTCAACTCACTGACTCAATGGGAATTGTAACAGTAACTCTTCAAAACTGGCTTGGCAAAAACAAGGAGAAAAAGATCTAAAGAACTCCCAATACAAAACAGCAAAAAAGCAACAAACCAAACACCAACTACATAACACATGGCAGAATCAATAGCCGTCCTCAGTGCTCGACTCAATCTACAGTTTCTTAATAGTATGAATATGATGAGCATGCTTACGCCATCATAGCTGATGTAAACCAAAGCAGAGAAACAAAAACATGGAACTCAAAACATTATTGTACGGACGCTCACATTCTACATTTTTTATGAATAAACTTTTACATTCCTATCAATTGGAAATAGCTGTGAACCAAAGAGTTTTTATCATAGTAGGGTTGTACCAAAGATCGATATTAAGCTGCTCTATATTTGTATTGGTCATGCAGATGTTTTTAAAATTCGAAGTAGCTAAAAAAAACAAGTATTTACTTTTTCCATCATTGATTTTTCCTTTAAGCTGCTTGAAATCTTACTCATTCAAAATTTATACTGAATGAAAGATAATGGAAACTCTCTCTCTAGAGCAGGAGAGAGAGATGGAGAGAGAGAGAGAGGTAATAGCCTTAAGAATTTCACAAAGCCTACCTAACACAATACATAGATGAGATGAGGTAAGAAACCTATCACATCAAGATCTTAGCAGTGTATAATGATCTTAACCATCAAAAGCATAAGGTACCTGCATAAGGCAACAAAAACTTTTATTGACTTGTTTTTTTCCCTTTTATTTTAAACAAGATGCTTTGCAAATATTTATATGTTTACCTTTCCTTATTTAGTTCTACCCATCGATACCAATGTCTATAAATGTGTATAATCCTAGTCTCAATTAAGCAAAGAAAGTAAAAACTATACATATTTATATTGCTCACTCACATCTTTCTCATTTACATGTCTCACACAATTCTTTTAATCATATACTACTAATCTTGTAAACATTACGAAAGTAGTACCTAGTTAAAAATCATCTTTCAAAAAAGCCACTCAAGTTTTATTCCGTTAAAATTTTTGTACGTAGTTTATTAACCCTAGCCATCTTCCCATTCCAAACCCTAGCCATCTTCCCATTCCAAACCCATGTTGTTCCCATACATTCCCATTCCAAACCCTAGCCATCTTCCCATTCCAACCCCATGTTGCTTCAAACCAACATCGAACCACCAGCTGGGTCCACAAGCCAATTGTTCACCCATTGAATCACCATGATATAGGCAATGGAACAATTAGCTGCTAACCAAACCGCCTCTAGATCTCCTCCAACCATCAAGCATTCATCGGTCATACATATTATCAAACCACAACTAATGATTAGTTTTAACTTTTAAAAAAATAATTTGTTAAGATTACAAAGAGTTAGACATTCACCGCAAATCTACGATAAAGATTAACCTAATCATGTCAACTTAAAACGGAGAAAATATGGACGTTACCCATGCAAATATGAAATTTATGATGTGAAATATATACATAGAAAGATTTTGATTGCACACATGCAATTACTCCTTAAAATAATAGAACTTCTCCGTGAAAACAATTTACAAGGCTATCCCTCAAACAAATCACAAAACCTAGTAAAGTACCTAAGATCCCGAGACAACCTATCAGGCCTACAATAGTGCAACATTAAACAAAATGACATTCAAATGTAATTTGTTTCTTTATATACTTGCTCTAGTATTTTGAGGAACAAAGCCAACCATAATCATTTGATTATACATTGGATTATCAACTCCTTTCATTGTTGTTTGTATGATATTAGATAATGGCCATTCAAATAATTACAACTACAAAGTATAGATTTGGCGAAAACGTCATTCTGACAAATCAACCTGGTTGAATAAATGTCAATTTTTTTATTCTTGTACAAATCAAATTTTGCCACGTCATTTGTTTTGTCACAGATGCTAAACCTGAAGTTTTGTAAGAAGGTTATTTCATTTTTTTACTTAAAAGGTTTGAAGTCCTTTTAGTAAGTACTAAAGGCCATACTTATACAAAGGATGGTGTCTTCGAGAAATATGAAATCATTGTAATATGGAATTACTATAAAATATTGAGCTCCTCCCTAGTATATATATCCACTCCTTTTCTGACGCGAAAGCGTCTCCTGCGTGATGCGGGTCGAGGAATAGGGATTGCGCCCCGCATGCGGTCAGTTCAGATTTTCTCCCATCCGAGAAGTCTATCGGACCTCTTGGATCACACCTAGATATCATCTTATTATATATTTGTATTCCTGATGGTTTAGGTTTAGTTTTTTATGTGTTTTGTTTAGGACAACCACCGGTGTCCGTTTTTCTCCCTTCATTGGATGATGCTACAACTTATCTCTCACCTGAAATTGTGATTATCTTCCTTATCCCCTACCACATCCTCCCCACATCACTCCCAGCTGCCCTCCATTGCTGCATCCACCCTCGAACTGCGGCCATTGTTGTTCTCCCTACAGTTCCTTGTTGTCCAGCCCTCGTGCGCTAGGACTGGCCTCCTTTGGTTGTCTTGCAGTTCCACGCAATCCTAGCCAATGCCACCGTCATTCCCGCTTGTTGCTACCACTCGGAAACAACTGCTCCAAGCTGTTTTATGGATATATTTGATTCACATTTTGTCTCTGAGATATAAAGCAACTCATCCACTTGAGCATTCTCACCTTAACAACACTTGACCTCATTTTATGCTTCTCTTTTACAGGCCAACATCCCGCACCATAACATTCTGCACCATAACGCATTGCAGGTCTCACCACCATTTTATAAAATTATCCTTTAACTCTAAGCGGTACTTTTCTATCACACAATAGGCTAGATGCATTCCTCCACTTCAACAATCCAACTTCAATTCTACTAATAGCATCCCAATCAATAGTACCGTCACTTTTGAAAAATAGAACTAGATATCTAAGAAGTTCACTCCTTTTAATGACTTCATCACAGATTGTCCCTCCACTAGATCTACTAATGCTAAAATTACATTACATGTATTCAGTTTTAGATCTACTCAAACAAAAGCATTTAGACTCTAAAGTTGACTTTCATAATTCAAATTTTTCCTAAACTCACACTAATCTTATCCACAAGAAGGATCAACAGTAAAAAGCACAAACCAAGGTACATCCTCCTACAACTGTCCAATAAAAACATCCATAACTAAAGCGAAATAATATGGGCTTAAAATCGATCCCTGACGTAATCCAAATGAAATGGAAAAATACTTAGTCAATCATCCTTTGTTCAAAAACAAGTAACAACTCTAGTATACAAATATTTAATAATTTGAATATAAGCAATATCGATACAATTTTTTTCTAAAATTCTCCAAATTAATTCTCTTGAAATCTTATAATAAGCTTTTTCAAAATCAACAAAAATCATATATAGATCCTCCTTACTCTTTCTGTGCTTCTTCATCAAACTACTGAATAAATATATAGCTTCCATGATAGACTTGTCGAGCATGAATCGAAACTAATTTTGAAAAATTTTTGTATCACAACATAACCTATGTTCAATTAATCTTTCCTATAATTTTAATGTATGACACATAAACATATTTTTCTATAATTTGCACTCTTGTGCATCACCTTTATTCTTTAAAATACTAACCAATAGATCATTTCTCCACTCAACAAACAACTTTTTAATTTTTAAAATAATATTAAAAAACTTAGTGAGCCAAGAAATTCTCAGATCTCCTAAACATTTCCACGCTTCTATTGAAATATTATCAGGCCCTACTATTTTTCACACATCTTTTTCTTTAAACCCTTGTCAACTTACGTTCTACTAATGTGATTGTAGAAACAAAAAATTTTGTTATAATTTACTATCTTAAAATCACTAAAATCAATCATATTTTCATAATCTTAATTGAAAAATTTATCAAAATATCTTACCCACTTATGTTGA